GATCCCCACCAAGGTTTAGCGCAGGAGGGGGTCTAGGCCAATCTTGGAGGAACGCTTTGCGTTTCGAGGGTGAGGAGCAAAGCTCGAAGCGGCTGACGGCCCGTGCTAATCTGTCCAGTTCAGGCTGGCACGTCTGTGAACGGTCACACATGAGGGAAATATCGTAAGCATACTCCAAGTCAACAAGTCGTTCTCCTGGGAGTAGCTCCACACCTAAGTCATGTTCTGTGAACGCGATTTCCATGACTTCGTCAATAGCGAAGTTGAAGAGGAAAGGTGACAGTGGGCATCCCTGTCTCACACCGCTGAAGGTATTAAAGAGCGACGACAGCTTTCCGTAAGCCATCACTCTGACTGAGCTACGCGCATGTAGTGCTCGGATAATATTTACATATTTCTCATGTACACCTTTCTTGAGTAGACAGTCCCAAAGTGCCCATCTATCCACTGTATCGAATGCACCTTTGGTATCGGTGAACACGACAACGGTGGGCTGCCTATATATGTGACGGTGCTCCAACCATTGACAAAAATTGAAGATGTGGTCAAGGCAGTCACGACGTCGACGAAACCCGGCTTGCTCTTCAGGAATATGGCTCACGAGTGCAAGTCAATCTGTGAAGGAGACAAGCAATTTGGAGGCGATGGAGCTCAGACTGATCCCTCTATGGTTGCCGCATTCCGATCGTGAGCCTCCCTTGAAAATTGGGACTATGATGGAGCGGCTCCAGTCGTGTGGGACAGTTTCCTGCTCCTACAGTTTCACTAGTAACTCGTATAATTCATCCACAAGAGCAGGTCCTCCGAATTTGAAGTGGATTGGAGGTAGATCATCTGGTTCCGCTTCTTTATTTAACTTCAATAGTCCGATCTCACGTTCGACTTCTGAGTGAAAGGGTGGATCCAGAAGTACAGCCCACGTAGCAGGTCGATCAGTGGTCGACGAGAAATCTAACAATTCCGACCGATTAAATTGCCTTTAAAAGTGCTCAGCCCAACACTCCAAGCGTTTTGACAATTTGTGAATAGGCTGTTCACTCTGGTCACGTATAGTTTCGACCAGGCCCGGATCAGCTTCAACCTTTGATATGCCTACTCTCACCCATTTACCTAAACAGCGTGTTGTGGGACTCTGCATATTATTCCCAATGGATCTTATATTTCTCGGACAGAATCCGCCCGCTAATCGCGCATTGCTGTCTCCCCTTATGTTTTTTGTTTCTTTGATCGTTCGATAAGATTAAGGGATAGCTAGAGAACTCATTCTTGTCTCTCTTGATGACTCCATACCCTTAGTCGTTGGAATGGATGCATCTTATATCGCTATTGCTGCCACGCAGAAACAGGACGACGACCAATTGCTTCCTTCTCATGAACGCTGTCCACTAGTGAATGACACCTACTGCTGGCCCGGATTTCCTCGCACCCGCACTATTTTGGGATGGTGATGAGGTCCTATGTAAAACACTGACCTCCCTGTTCGAACATGTCTGGAAGGAAGAGTCTATCCAAGCTAACGAGTGAATCGATTATAGTGACAATATACAAGAAGGGCGGTCGCACTGACTGTGAAAACCACAGAGGTATTAGCTTAATGTCAGTTGTGACAAAGTTACAGGTGACAATTCTTGTTCGTCGCCTCACCGCGGAACGGGAGTCCCAGATTCATGAAGAGCAAGCAGGCTTCCACCCAGGACGTGGTTGCATACACCACATGTTACACTGCGAGAGGGGCTATAACAGTGCCACACGTACCGCAGGTCGACAATAGCTGTGCTTCTGGACTTCAATAGCGCGTTCGATTCCGTCGATCGATCCATTCTGCTCGAGATCCTTGTGCTGGAAGGGGTTCCCATGAAATATGTGAACATATTACGTGTACTATAGTCGAACACAACAGGTTGCGTCAGTGCCTACGGTGATTTATCTGATACCTTTCCGACAACAAGCGGCATTCGTCACGGTTGTCCAGTTTTCCCATTTTCGTTCATCGTGGGTTCCGTCATCGAGTGTTCCCTTGCACAGTTTCACGATACAGGCGTTGAGATGCTGTCTGGTGATCTCGATTATGCGGGCGACATTGTCATGTGGTCTAACAATGTTCTGCTGGCACAGTCAACCCCGAGTAACCTTTCTGGTGTGGTCCCATCATTCGTCATGCGCTTCGCACCATCAAAGTGCAAAGTGTTGTTACATGACCATCAGCCATTTGATAACCCGTTGACCGTTGATAGCGAGGTACTCGAAGTAGTTGATTACTCCACTCCTTGGCACTTGCATCAGCAACGATGTGCACACAACCACTGAAGTCAGTTCACGTGTTGCAAGAGCTAGATCTGCCTTCTTGAATCTGCGACATCTGTGGCATTAGAATGGTGTTCCTTTCCGTCTGAACTACCGTGTTTACAAGGCCACAATCAGGGCCGTCCTACTCTATGGTAGTGAAACATGGCCCCTTCGATGTGAGAACCTGCGGCGTCTTCAAGTCATTGCTCATCGCTGTCTTCGGAGCATCGCTGGTGTCGGTTGGTACTAGTAGTATTCTCAACAGTCTAGTAAATAAACAGTGCCAACCAAAACCATGTAGACTAGCGAATACATGGTAGAGTCACCGCATCATACTCATCGTGGTACCTAGTTGAAGGTGAGCAAAACACTGCAGTTTTTGTGCCACAGGAAGAAATGCACGTTTTTTTTCACCCACCACATCTTTTAATCTTTTTACTTATTAGACATTTCGTTTGTTTTTCCCACGCCGCTTTTCTCTTTTTTGTCATTTTCAATGTTTGAAGTATAAAACATGTGAATCAGTACAATTCTATACACAGTTCTTCCACTTATTCTCGTTGCGGGCCATGTTTTCAAGCCTGTTAAGCCATTGGCACCCCCTGATCTTTGGGTCCCCATCCTGAATGACGTACGAGTCCAACGGCGGCTAGATGCAACTTCTGCAATTTCATGCGCTGTCGCCAAGTGGAAGGTTGACCACCACGCGGTCGCCTCCAATCAGGTCTTGGATGAAGAAATTGAGCGCAACGCGGTAAACGCTCACGTTCCATACGTAGGACGTACCCAAGCCATCTCAACGGGCGCAGCAAAACCAGCTTGTTGAATGGAATACTCGCATTCCCCAAGACGCGGCGTCAAACTTCATCACTGTGAACTCAGTGTTGCCACTAAACACGAGCCATCCTCCTTAAACAACCGTTGTAGGCAGAATGATAACGCGTGTCTACCACGCGAATTGGCCAGAACTAGTTCCCATACAACAATACTGAACGAACAGCTTCACTGTAAACACAGTCCCTTAGCGAGAGTGAGAGGTCGCGACGACGCCTCAAGTGCCTCAGACTAACAAATGCTGGTCGGGCTTTAGCGATGCGAAGAGAAACTTCCTTGCTGCTCGTGCCGTCAGCAGAAACACAACTCCCAAGGTAAACGAAACTATCTACGTGTTCAAGTTGTGCACTAGTGTGTCCGCAACGATTATCTGCGTGGGCGAGTACCATGCACTGATAACTAACCCAATTCCTTAGAACGACAGATATTACTGAGTAAGTTGCTTTGACTTGAGCACCTACTACGTATGCCCGGTCACCGCTTACCGAGGAGGGCTTTGTTTTGTCTGTCAGATGTATGGTGGCGCAAGACTCGAGGTGAACAAACGTTGACTTGACAGCGGGAAATGAAGTCACTGACGACCAAACTGAGTGCCGTTGGTCCGTCTCACCTTCCGGCCTGAAGTCCACATGACGCCTTGTGCTTGGCTCGTGACTTTACAGGACGGCTCGCAGTCGACACAAGTGGCGCGTCTGCTGCCGTCTCCTTGTCAGACTGCCTGGTTAAAGTATGTTTGTGCTGAGTTACCTGCGAGGTAATGGGTGATTATGATGCGGGGAAGTGAAAGCCGCAAGGAAGTTGTCTCGTCGATGCCGCCTTATCTTGGCACGATAGCTAGCTGTTTGTGACGGTATATTGTCTACACAAGGTGCAATTGCCTTGACCATGAATGTTTGCTTAGGGCATTAAGGCTTTCACCTGAGTCTCGCTTCTCTTCCTCTTATTATTATTATTAAATGTAGAGACCGTTGGTGTTAAAAATTCGTCATACTCTTTAATATTCTGTTCAGATACATTACGCTATACGTTTTATTTTGTTTTCCTCTGTGCGACCGGCCCTTAAGTCCACATGTTCAAGACTGTGTAAGAACCGTGCGATCCTCATAGTATCTTTACCCCACGTGCGACTGTTGCTGGTTACGCAGCAGCAAAGCGTCGGTACTGCGTACCGGCATATTGCTGATACCTACTCTTCCTCTTTACGATTGACTAAAAAGACGCCTAAATGGGACGGCTGGTGTAGACGGCCCTTGATCGAAAAGAAAAAGACGTCTATCATGCGACCCGAAGGACACGGGTTCGAGCCTGCTTAGAGAACCGGGCGAACCTTGCAGTATCCTTAGCCCACACGCGGGTGGTGATGGTTTCGTGGCAGCGAAGCGTCGGTACGGCGTACTGCTGATGCGGGTAACACATAGTTGCGGACTTAGTGAAGCTGCTGACACTACTTTATTTTTACTGTTCCTTTTTGTATTTTTCTATATTAGAAGAAGAGGAGTTGCTGCGATGTCTCTTTTCGATAATTCTCCTCAGGCATTTACAATTATGAGGAAACTTGATACAATACGAGAAGATAACTGTGATCTTTTCCGCTAAATCAACCATTTTTTTGCTGTTAAGCTTGCCTTTTAGTGTTTGAGGTGTGAAATCGCATGATGTTTACCACCTGGTTGCATTGGTCTATCGATTGCCTCGTTGACCTTCCGTTGAACTATGACCTAATCATTCACTACTGCAGCTTTAGATAGCTTCTCGCGTTGTCTCAAGTTTTCTCATAATCGTAAATGCCTGAGGAGAATTGTCCAAAAGAGATCTGTTCGCAGCAACTCTTCTTCTAATGTTGAATGGGCACAATACACGAATTTTCTATATTACTTTCAGGGCCACTATGCATGGTGACCGTACTGTTGAACGTAAAATCGCAGATGCGGTTAACAAAGTTAACAGAGGACTCGTTGCTTATTTTGAGTGAGTGCGAAGCGTATGCGAAACTTTTCACTCTAACAGGAAAACCGTCGCTAGTACCTGTGCAAAAATAAAAAAGGTGGACGAAAATTGGCTCCGATTAATGGTTGATGAAATCACTCGAGAATTTCTGCAAAACACCGAGCGTGACGTTTCTACCATATTAAAGAATTATGCAGTGAATGAGAAGGTTACCACACTAGAATACGCCAATCGTAATCTTCATTCGAGCCGAGTGTGGTACATTTATTCTTTGCAGTAAAAACTTGTTTTGTAGGTATCCTTCCGGGGATCCAGACAAGGATGTTCGTGCGCAATTGCTTGCTGTTGATAGAGCGCACTTAAAACAGCTGTCAGAACGAGTACTTACCCTTCATGGTGAAGTGCGACCCATCCTGAATGAAGTCCAAAGACAGCAATGCAGACTGCGCAGTGAATTCCACGAGGTTCAGCTGTGTGCCAAGCAAATCTCCGAGGTGAGTATCCTTCTCGTCGTCAATATGTGAATACTCAGTGGATTTGGAAAATTTCCTTGGCAGTTATAACTCTTTTGTGATATAACCTTAGTCATACCCATATGCTTGCCAGCCAGCTGCTCCATGTGTATCATCTGTCAACACTGCATTTCTCTCATGGAAGCCTTGCGATAACTACTCGGCGCTATTTTAAGTGGGTGTCCAGGACTTGGTCAAAAAACTGATTTTATTTTCACATGTTTTTATTCTAGGTGAGTATTCGAGATTTGTCATCTTAATACCTAGCCGAGCCATTGGTATGGCGCAATCACGAAGTCCTTTGGATTCATGCATGCACCTACTTTCTGACTTGCAACATTATTTAATCTGTCAGTGTTATTTCTTGCCTGTTTCTCAAATGACTTCCTTTCCTTTTATTTTTCCCATTTTTCGGTTGTCATTCCCTCTCTTGGCGAAGTGAGTGATCGCATCAGTGTTCGTCACAGTTTGATGCGTAGCTACAAATGAGCGACTCTCCCAAACACGACTCCTTCGGTCTGTTAATCTCAGAGACTTTATGGGCTCCTATCGTACCGATGTGTAATGTGATTATCCTATAGGCGTAATTAAATACAGTCAAAATTAGTTAAGGTTTATCATATCAATCGGGCTAGATGTTTAACACTTGTGGGATGAATCGATCGCGTTTTCAGTTCTTATACACGCGTGTCTTCCAGCTACATTCAAATAATGGCAGTTCATCTGCGAAAATGTAACCTCCACTGATATGACTTGGAGCGTGCAGACGGTAATTTTTGATTGGAATCTGTTTCACATACAGGCGGTCTCGAATAACTTGATACGAGCCACTTCATGTTTTTATGTGTGTATTGCATCATAGGAGCCAAAGGTAGTACCGAACGGATGGGTTGAGATGTCAACAGTTCTCATCTCCACTAACTGTAGCATCACCATTGGTGATCAGATAACCAACAACTACTACGCCTGTCATATGCATTCTCGAAGTTTTGCTATATCGGGATCAGCCGTTCGTCAGCTAACGCAACAGCACATTGTCGTAGACAGTACTGAACCACGCAGTCACTCAACCGCGCGAGGAAAAGATTCGCCGATTATTTTCGATCATTTGAGCTAACTGTTGCCGTTCTATGCAGACGATTAACTATGCGGTTTGTTAGTTTGTGTTCAGTGGCTACCCCCGTGATCTTGCATTTACGACTTGCGCCGTTTGCGTGGATTGGGTCATTTTTTCATCTGCTTGTTAACCACCTACGTAATTATGGCTGAATTCGAATGGCACAATAGTAGTGAGTCGGACAAAACCAACAATCCGATTGTTCGAGCTCATGTTCACACACGAGGCGGCCGGACCTACTCCCATTTCAACAGCCATTAAGGGTCGCTTTTTTACAGTCCGACACAATCTCAGGCATCAGGTAACTGCATATTCATGGCTAGGCTCCGAGAAACCTTTTTATGCTCGCTAATGCTTATGGCTCGATTATCTACTCTTCTTAACCTCGACTGCACAGTAAAAAAACCTGAAACGAGCGCTTACGGTTATCTGCGGTCTGGGCCAGTTTTTTACTCAGATAATCGGGTCACTAGCTATCCCGTTGAAGTTATTTCTTTTTCAAAATCTACGCTAGAGACAAATTCCTGGTCGCCATTTGTCTCACAAAGTATCCTCCACCCAATCTACAACCATATTCTCTTCCCAGATGACCTCATTGTACATAGTCTGGAAACCTTGACGTCCGCAACTGATTAGTTCGGAGCCAATTCGCAAGCGATAGTCGCGAATAGACAGGTGTTTTGTGTGGTCCGCTGCATTCCACGACCGGTTTTGTGCTCGTTTGCACTCTCAAACGTTTTGCTGCCAAACCGTTGTTTCACCCACTCGGTTCAGAGAGGCAACGAAACAGTGCGTGTTTGACTTTATATCCACGAAACGTAAACGCGTGATCCAACAGAGTACCTTCAAACTCAGCTACCAGGTAACACTATTTTGTAACGGCGTGAGCCGCACAGTATATCGAAAATAACACACCTTATCGATGCAGACATCCACAGGCCACTATTCTTTATTACTTTTACTGAGGTCACCATTCCGAGCAGTCCATTTGGTAGTTTCCGGATAGAGTTCCCTGGATGGTTCAATTATCTCTTTGCAGGCTCGTCTGGAACCAAGCTGCTTCGTTTCATGGAAGTGACATCATATGCTTTATTCGAGAGCACACGGCGGTAAGGAATGTTGTGTGATGTATTTATAACGCCTACTCTGGTTCCGTAATCTAGATTAACTACTCGGCTCAACGTAACTATAGCACCGCACTTATCCGTGTTATTTTTCTGTCTGCATGATAACACCGCCCAGTCACTTCCTAAATCAAAAGACAGAAGTTCTAGCTAAATCAAAAAACTGTAGCGTTGTTAACAGACATTGGCTGGGACTATTCCGCCCGGATATTCGCATCCATTCCCCTGATCCTCTTCCACCATTGTATTGTTGTTACTTATATGTTGTGGCACCATACCAAATGTTTATTAGTCAAGTGTAAACGCCGTCATTTACTGGCTCTTGGTCATTGGGTTCAATTTGGCTTAGTCTAAGCTTTTGCTCAGGAGCGGGTTTAGACGGCTTGTATGAACGGATCTTCTCAGTGATCCTTGAAGATGAAGTAACTCTCAGACAATGCTTCATTCCAGAGTCCTGTACCATACATTTTACACATTAGCTAGAGGTGCGAAACTGAGCATCTGAGCAGGGATCAACGTTCTGCATTCTCAATGCGCCTGAAAACCCCACATGTTCTTACTATGCTTATGTTCCTGTACCAGCCACTTTGATGCCAAAATCTACTCATGGTGCAGCGATTGTAGAAAGTAGACTGTTTTTTCTGCCCACTGACAGTCCTTCCAAAGCCGGCAACGTTCAACCGAATGCGCCGGTGACAGCTATGAATCTAATCAGTCTTTCAACTCGATCCTTCCACTGGTGCCTGAGTGAAAAGCAAATTCCTGTGCGGAAACAGAATATCATTACCCTCTTTGTTTAATGGCGACAACCAAACGATCCCCCCGATACTCTCAAAGGCGATAGAACTTGTCGTCACTGGGACGCTAGCGACCGTCCCGAATGGTGTCGTATCATAGCATTGGAGCCGAACGGTTTCCGTCAACACCGGCTATGCACTATCCACCCATGGCTCGTAATGTGTCCGGAATCATTATCAGATTTTGGGGCCTTTTCGAAACATACTTCTTCATGATTTAAAACGATAAGCGACCTGGTATCCTGTTTGTCAATGGATTGACAACTTTCTGCTTCAGCATTGGATAGGTTTAAAATTCGGATTCACTGTCCGATACCCTTAAGTATGGATGCGCTGTTCCACTGGGTTCAGTACTTGGGCTGCTATATTCACTGTCTTTATCATTAACCTTGTGACTGTGGTCGCTCGATATTTCGTGCTTTTCGCTGACCCTTTTTAGATGGAATGAGCGGTCGGAACTAATCCTGTTAGATTTGGATTGCGTCCATGAATTGAAAACGAGCAATCCACCTAAGTGACCAGACGTAGTGGGAATCGCAAAAACATAGCTGAATTCTGAGGTGATCACCACTGAAATGGAGCTCAGTGGCTGCTCCTGTTTCCGTTGTGATAGATTGTTGACCACCCACAGGTGCGTCTTGCTGTACATCCCGTCTTCTCTGTGGAAAACTTATAGGCACCTACAGAAGCGATGATAGCCTCTGTGAGCAGCTTTGGCGCTCTAGCTACCTCAGGCGCGGAGAGCTGCTGGTTGGTGCCTTTTATCGCAACCTCCTGAGCCGTTATCTGAATTGGCTGTCGCGTCTTCGAAGCTATATGAGTCATCCCTAGTTTCTACTCATGGGTAATTTTAAGTACCCTCGAGCACACTAGCTTGAAGTCAAATTTATGCCCGGACATTGTGACGTTGAAGCAAATTCGTGTACTTGCTGCTTGAAAATGGAGCGGCGCAAGTTCTATACTAACCGACATGTATAACGCTGCACTCAACTCTGTAGTGCATAAGCTTGATGTTGGCAAGTTATAACCATGTGTGTGACGCTCAAATCTTGGAGCCCCTAGCAGCTCGTAACTAGCATGGATTTGCCTTTACCATATTCCCGTCCACTGAGGCCAGCTTACAACTATTGTAAAACTAATTTCGACAGCCTAACTAGAGCCGCGAGCCAAGTTAATTGATCTTTTCCGCAAGACTGTTGGACTACTATAAGAGTGAGAGTGACATTACTGTGTCATCGGTTCGTACCACTTAAGTTTTGGAAAGTCAGACCAGCCAGGCCACTTTTGTTCGACAAAGAATATGGCAAAATAGTTCTGCGGCGGCACAAATTCCTTCTCTTTTGCTCTCCTAACTAATACGAGGTGTAAAAGAGGTAGCGAAGTATTTGCAACGGTGCCAAAACGATCAAGCACCGGCATTTCGAGGAGCAACTCAGCTACTGTCCTGAAAAGAATCTTTGCATACGTGAGGCAGCGTTTCAAGCCGGCAGATGATCTACCACTGCTAGAGAGCTCGAACGGACAGTACCTAACCTCCAGCATTGAGCACGCATACGCATTAGCGGCCCATTTCGCTTCCGTATTTGTAAATGACCTGGTGTCTATACCGAGTTCGACGTGTACCGCATATCGTGCTCTGCAACCTGGATTGCGGTGTTGAATAGGTGCGTCAACTACTCGTCAACTTTGACGACGCCAATCTTGCTATGCATGACGCGTTGCACCCGTTGATTCTCAATCACTTATCAACCAGCATCTTATCTGTTGTGTCTGACTTATTCGACAGGTCGCTGTTCGTAAGTTCATTGTCGGTTGATTACAACTGCTCAGTAGTAAAGTCGATTCCGAACCGCTGGGACCCCCAGAAAAGAGGACAACTACCGACCAGTTTGTCTGTCACCTATGTTGTCCGAAGTTGCGGAGATCGTGATAAAAGTCTGTTATAACTGCTCCAATCAAAAGGTTTACTGACGCCTGCACAGACTGGTTTTATGCTAAGTCGTTCCCGCATTACCAACCTGTTGCTGACGAAGCATGAATGGTTGCAAACAGGGAACCAGGGGTAGTCCGTCGACGTAATATACATCGATTTCAGCAAAGCGTTCGAAAAGGAAAAGCTCGGAGTCCTCCACAAGTTGGGTGTAGGGTGTTAGTGTACCCAAGACTTTCTTTGGACGAAAGTGTAGGGTACATGTCCCTGCCTCTCTAACTACATGAAATCCCTCTACAAATGGCGCACCTCAAAGCACGACCTTAGAGCCCACTGTTCCCAATCAACATCAACCATCTACTACAGTTTTCATGTGGTCTGCAGAACTCCGCCTTCTGGTCAACCCCAGGAAATTGGTCTTCATAAACCTGTGGAGGAGTGGTATCGACCAAAATTGTACCTTTGAGGGCCAACCGCTACATCCCATGCCTTCTATGAAGGACTTAGGTGTACTCTTGCGTCCGTGGACAACACGAACAAGATACATCGTGACGGACTGCAAATGCTTTGGGCGCTAAAACGCAGCCTCTGTACTTGGTCTAAAGTGGTCGCCACTCTTCCATCATACGGCCAATGCTAGAGTACCGCTCGCCCGCCTTTTGTCCAATCGCCTGAGGCGAGGCGAGGCAGAGAAGATCGAACGGGTCCAGGACGTCGCTACCACAGTCATTCCGAGTTTATGAGGATTGATACGCAAAATTAGGACTGTACATCTTGTACTATCGTCGGTTGAGAATCGATCTCGCCATGATCTACCGCATGTTGCATCCCAGTGACTTACCCATCTTGATGTCGCTGCTACGCTTACGAACGTCATAGAGCACATGTGGACACCGGTACAAGCTTGTTTATGCTGGCTATGAGACATGTTCCCCACTTCCTATGCTTCGAATGAAAAGTGGTACATGTTTAGAAGTTTGCCAGAACATGTCTTGGGGGCTAAATTTATGCAGCAGTTCAAAACTTTGCTGGGTTTACATTTCATTACCGCATTTATGAGCTAAGCGATACTGTAGTTCGGACCTTCTGGTTGCTACTTAAGTACCTGAGGAGCCAAACAAGTATCAACAGATGGCAGATACATTCTATGGACTTTTTTACGATATTCCGAAGGAGTTTTACAGATTTAAATTCCTACTCGCTCAAACCATCCAGTTTTGAGTTTGACTTGGATACAAGTAAGTTTGCCCACATGTGCCTTCAGCTAACTTTCATTTGTGCACTTGGTGGTTTCATGTTGCGGAAATTCTTTCTGGAAGGTGAGTTATTGGTCGCTGTTCACAATAGCCTCCGTTGATCGAGGAACTAAGTAGTACAAAAATAGAAATTATCTGGGAATATGTTTGGAACCCACTGGAATCTCACCATTTCAGAAGGTTTTGAATATAAATAGGTTTTTGTAGCTTTTTATTATGGCAGCGTTTCACTCTTTACGCAATAGGTTTTTCAGGTCAGGTGAATCGGTACACAATTGGCTTACCTTTTATGGGAACGTTAGGTGAAGGTTGCAAAAAATAACATGAACCATTGGATAATAGTGTTACAGGTCAATAGGTCAAGTGGCCATTCTAGTGTAACAACAAGCATCGAACATTTATCATTGATCCACGTCACTGGTTGTTCACATGTGAGATATTCCTTTCTTGCTGCTGCTGTTTTACGCTCCGACCTGAGTTAGTCCACCGCCATCTTTTCTGATTGACCAGGTTAACACAGCCCGCCACGCATTCGTTTAGCTCCACCCCATCCGTTCTGTTCACACAATTATTAGTTAGTAATCTCGATTGCCTCGGCAATTAACCTTTGGCTTGTTGCTGGTAGTCCCCTCTTAAGTATCCCGACATTGTCCCAATCATTCTCGTGTCCTGCGTCTAGCGCGTGTACGGCCACGGCTGACGAACTTAGGTCGGAGCGTGAATCAGCAGTCGCAACATTGCAATGCCTCACATGTGAATGACCGGTGACGTGAATCAATGAGAAACGTTCGATGCTTGTTGTTTCACTAGCATGGCCACTTGACCTATTGACCTGTAACACTATTATCCAATGGTTTATGTTATTTCTTGCAACGTTCACCCAACTTTCCCATAAAAATGTAAGCCAATTGTGTACCGAATCACCTGACCCGAAGAAGCTCTTGCGCCAAGAGCGAAACCTTGTCATCATAAAACCTACAAAAACCGATTTGTATCCAAAACTTTCTAGAATCATAGAAATTATCTGCTTGCCAATGATAGACGCTTTAACTCTCATCCTTACTAGTCACTAACCCACATAATCTAGCTCTCGTTTATTGGGAAGTAGCATAACACTTGCAAATGACATCCAGATGAGCCTTCTTCACTAAACTGCAGTCAGTATCATCAACAGCAGTACATCAGCCATTTGCACCGATGCTTCGCTACGGTGCGACCTTAACTACCTGCGGTAAGAGGAATAATAAGAGAATAAGGATGGGAATTTACCGTAAAACCTCAATCCCCTAAGCAGACATTCAGGGTCAAGGCGATTGCACCTTGTCAACAACATTATGTCACATACAGCTGGTTCCAGTGCAATGATAAGGCGGCATCAACGAAACAGCTTCCTTGCGGCTTTCACTGTCCCGCGTCATAATCAGCCATTACCTCGCGGATAACTCAGCACCAAACTAACTTTAAACCGGCAGTCCGATTAGGAGACGGCAGATGACCGGCCACTGGTGTCGACTGCGAGCCATGTCCTGTAAAGTCTCAAGCCAAGCACAAGGCGAGTCACGTGGTCTCTAGCCTTGAAGGCGAGACGGAGCAACGGCACAGAGTTTGGTCGTCAGTGACTTCACTTCCTGCTGCCAATTCAATGTTTGTCCACCATGAGCCTTGCTTGGTTCTGGCAGACAAAACAAAGCCCTCCTCTGTAAGCATTGACCGGGCATGCGTGCCCAAGTCAACGCAACTTATTCAGCGCTATTTGTTGTTCTAAGCTACTAGCTTAGTTATCACTGACTAGTAGTCACCTACGCACTTCATCGTTGTGGACGTGCTGGTGCCACTCGACACCAGCGATGACCAAGAACTTGAAGACGCTTCAGAATGAAGGGGTCTAGTTTCACTCCCAACGAGTAGGACGGCCCTCACTGTAGCTCAGAAAACACGGCATTTCAGACAGATGGAAACCGTTACTGTCCTCAAAGACGTCGCAGATTCAAGACGACAGTTGTGGCTTTTACAACACGTGAATTGACTTCAGTTGCTATGACCCATCCCTGCAGTTACCAGGGTAATTGAATTGATCAACTGCCTCGATTCCCTCGTTATCAAAAGTCCAGAGGTTATCAAATGGCTGGTGGTTCTGTAACATCCCTTTACACTTCGAAGGTGCGAAGCGCATGCCAAATAATGTGACCAACCTAGAGAGGTTATTCAGGGTTGCTGCACCACCGCAACATCGTTTGACAACAAGACGATATCATCCGCACACTCAAGATCCACTAGCCTTCAACCAGACAGCATTTCAACGCCTGCATCGTGAGACTCCGCAAGGGAACAATCCATCCCACGACGAAATTGAACAAAAATGGGAAAATTTGACACCCCTGACCATCGCCACTTGCTGTCGGAAAGATATCCGACAGATCACCTTAGATTGTGGCGCGGCCTGTCGTATTCAAGTATGGTTCACGTAACATGTTCACATATTCCATGGGAACACATTTCCGCACAACGATCTCGAACAGAGTGCATTGGTCGACCAGATTGAACACACTTGAATTCCAGGAACCCAGCTAGTGTCGCTCTGTATTATGCGTGGCGCTATTTTAGTACCTGTCGCAGGGTGAATATATGCTCTATACAGTCACGTCCTGGGCGAAAACCTACCTACTCTTCCCTAATCTGAAATATTCGTCCCGCATTGAAGCCAGTAACTATGTCACCACTGGCGTTAGGCTAACACCCGTGTGGCTAGCACAGTCGGTGCGACTGCCCTTCTTGTATATGGCCACTACAATCGATTCACCCCAGTTTGCCGGGATAGTCTTCTCTTTCCAGACATCTTCGGATATGGAGGTCGATGCTTTGCAGTGGACGTCGCATCCATCCTTAAATAGTGCGGGTGCGAGGGAATCCGGGTCAACGGCACGAAAACGATTGTGTGCTGACATCGCGTTTCGGACCTTGGCCTCCGATGGAGCGTCTACATTGACTGTCCATGGCTCGTCCTGCATCACCTGAGTAGGAAAAGGTCTGGAATCAGGGGGCTAAGTGAACTGATCTTGAAAGTGCTCCTCCCATCCAGTCCTCCAGCGCTCCTTGTTGTGAAACACGGCACCCGCGCTGTCTCCGATTGTTTCACTGACGCCTGGTTTCCTGGGCCTAGTGATACCGATCACTTCGAGGGGCTTGCGATAATTGCCAATTGCTCCTGCCTCCTACATTTCTTAAGCCCTACTAGTCCACCAGACTTCCTTTTTAGTGCACAAGCTACACCTTCCCGCTTACTAGTTCGTCTGGTCATATTGTGCTCAGCCGGACATTTTCTTCTACATCCCAACAGGTTCATTGAGTTCTCGGATATCCGGTGACTGGTGAGCTGACCATTGCAAGTACCACAAGTAAATGCTCCTGCGTCGTGCATGGCGGCCGAGATCCTATGCCACTCAACTTCAGTGTCATTCGGACAAGGGAGCGAAAGTTCGGTGCGTACTGCATCCTGGTAAGCTTGCTTAACCGAGGGCTGTGATGGTTTTTCACTTGCCAATCGAGGGAAACGCTTTGCTCCTTCTGGTAAAGTTTATGGAAAAACAATAACTTACCAAGGCATGGTTAGAATCGACACAAGTACTCCGGAAGGAGCGGCAATCCAAGATGGAACCACGCCACCTGTAAATTATGGCAACATGATCTATTTGGGTCCATCGCTGGCCGGATTTAGATGGACACTCACTGTGTCTGTAGGTAGTGCTACCAAGACACAGTTGCAACAGACCTTCGCCGTTGTCAGTCCGTTCGGAGTTAAGCTCATACTTACCACCTAGGTGAGCTTCTGAAGGTCTCAGGCGGCATACTTGTGCGTTCATATCCCATGCAAGTACCATGCTATCTGAACTGGTAACACTGCGTAGTAGTGTGTTCAGTTCATGGTACAAGATGCCCTTGACTGCCTCAGAACTACAATCCGTGGAAGCATAGGCGGTAACCACCAAAATACAACATCTTGTACTACTTCTTGGATTGGCCTTAGTTGATGTCGTTAAGCGGGCTGCACACAAACGGCTGTTCACAGGAATCCAATCAACTAAGAGTGACTCAGCCTTTGAGCTGAGAACGTTGCCTACTGCAGCTTGCCCCGTGAGTACTGTATCAACGTCGCCAGATGCGTGCAAGCAATAACTAGAGGACAAACCTGTCGCAGTTAATTCAACAACCCCGTGAGAGACATCGTTCCTAGTCCCGGACACACAACACGTCCATACCCAGCGTATTCAACGTGTGTGTGAGTGCAGCCTGTTGACTTAGAGTGTGAACGATGAATGCCGCCAGGGAAAAGGGACAGTGTGGTCTTATAAGAAGCTATTGGCGATTGGTGTCCAGTGGGGGTACGGGAAGATAGCTGCAGATGGGATGACTCCAGTGACATTGCGGTTGAAATCACGGGAGAAAGGTTAGTAATGGGGGTCGGGAGAGGAGTAAGAGAAACAGGTGGAAAGGAAAGATGGGGGACGCCAGTAGTAGCATGCTTTTGCCAATTCGCTCTTCTATATGCGGTAGTAAAGGCAACCCTTGGTAAGATGTGCGACGGCCGATGCAGGAAATGCTTGAACGTTGCAGAATTAGTCATGGTTGTATGAGGGATGAGATACTGTCAGGGCGCCCAGACCTTGACAGGAGGACGATTAGTGTCTTCAACCAAAGCCTTCGACTCGAAAGCCTGTCCGCAAGGCAGCGGGGAGGTGGCAGTGATATAGTTTTACAGAAATGAACACCATCCCATTTCAAACCCCCAACCTGGAGGACCAGGAGACCGAGTTTGTCTGACCTCTCACCGTTGACCAACCTGGTAAGAGTAGCTCTCAAGTGGCCCGGAGGCACCACCCAGTATAGCTCAATGGGTCAAGGAGGTACGCAAACCGTTGCACCACTTTAAGCTCCAGTCTCATGGCAGTTGCCGAATTCCAGTCTGTTTCCATATAAATATCGCGATGGGTATGCAGATGATTACATTCTGCTGATATTCTATCCGAGCATTATATGCGCGTAGCTCGGGCAGAGTGAGGGCTTACGGCAAGTTGTCGTCGCCCTCTAATGTCTCCAGCAGCGTGAGACAAGGATGCCCGCTGTCACCTTTCCTCCTTAACTTCGCTATTGACGAAGTCATGGAAATCACCTTCACAGGACACGACTTAGAAGATGTGGAGCTACTCCCAGGAGAACGACTTCTTGACTTAGAGTATGCTGATGATATTGCCCTAATCTGTAACAGCTCCCAGACGTGCCAAGCGGCACTGGACAGATTAGCACAAGCTGTCCGTCACTTCGGGCTTTGCTTCGCACCCTCGAGTTGCAAAGCGTTTCTCCAAGATTGGTCTGGACCGCCCCCTACGTTGACCGTTGGTGGGGATCAGCTAGAAGTCGTTCAAAAATCCAACTACCTGAGAAGTTGTATCAGCGCCCGTGGGATTGAAGATGAGATCACGAACCGTATAGCAAAGTTCGGGGCGCTTTTGCTAACCTTCGCCACTTATGGCGGCGGCGCGACATCACTCATGCCCTGAAGGGTAGAGTGTACAATGCAGCGGTACGTTCGACCCTACTGTACGGTTGTGAAACCTGGCCCCGTAAAGCAACGGACGTGAAGAGGCTAGTTGCGTTCGACCATAGGTGCATTCGCAGTTTGGCTCACCTCTGGTGGGAACACCGCGTGAGCAACGAGCGTGTTCGACGCCTTATTTACGGTACAGAGAAAGGAACTGAACCGCTCAGCACCGTTATTTCACGCACCAGGCTCGATGGCTGGGTCACGTGTTACGCATGCCAGCCCACCGACTCCTTGGACATGCGTTGTTTGCTCACCGTGGATGTGGATGGAAGAAGAGGAGGGGTGGCCAAGCGATGAATTGGTCCAGAGGGATGAAAGCCCTCACTTCTGAGCTGACCTCGTTTGGAGCGTCACGGCTCCCTGGTTGGGGTCCGAAAGACGATGAACACATTTGGTTGGACACACTTGCTGACATGGCAAGGAGCCGACCTCAGTGGCGTTCGTGTTGTGAGTCTCTTTGTCCCACCCCATCCCTCTTAGCCTCCCCCTCCAACCACGATCTCATTATTTAACCCTATATAATTTTGCATAGTAATTTTTTTTGGTGCACAGTAGCCGGCTGTTAGCTTATCGGATCGATGCCCATCTGTTACCGGTAGCTCAGCCGGCTTGCACCAGTTGCATTCTTTTTTTCTCTCATTTTTCTGTGTGTTGCGACACAGTAGCTGAAGTGTTCCCCACCTCTGGCTTTCGTGTATGATGATGATGGTGATACTCTATCGTTGTTTTCAATTTTATTACACCACTGTTTCATTGTACCATGGCGCCACTTATTTACTGGCGACATTTCTCGTAGTTGAACGTAGTCCAGAAGAAACGAACTACTATCCTTGCAACACTATTGCGGAGTTTGCCATGATATAATAAGACATCATGAGTACAACTGCACATCGTACCGACGCTTCGCTGCCGTGCTACCTCCACTGGTCTCGCGTGGAGCGCGTATTTCGCGAGGTTGCCCCGTACCTACGCTGATTTAAGTCGGTGACTTCCGGCTTACAAGTGGTGTGTAATTCTTTTTGAATGGCACTCTCGGAATCATTCAAATCTGTTAGAGTCACTAGTCTGCTCTCTACGTTTAAGTGACCCTTTCAATTAGTACGTTCGGTAATTCCCTTTCGCACTTTGCTTGTCCTGTTTATCGACTTCTTACTGCCTGGCTCATTACGGTTAAGTATTCTGATCCCGGTTCATCAGCTCAGTTTAGTAGGCCAATACCGCTCAACGTTGTGCAATAGATCTATCGCATTCACTCTTGACGTGCGCACATTTAAGGTCATTTTTCTGATAATTCACAGTAGATGAGAAAACACCATAGCCTTGCTTTCGCTATGCTTGCGAGCAATTCACAAACAACTGATTATATAAGAGTATGCAAATTGTCATTGTCATTTCCGGTCGCGAGTGAAGCGTTAAAATAGTGACTCAACCGCTACGCTTGATATTTGTTTCACATGGACCAATTTCGCTTCCAAGCTTCGTGTTCAAGTCCTCGTGGTACCTCTCTAGGTTAGCATCCGATGCCGCAGGTCAACAAAGTTCGGCACATCAGGTGTAAGATCTGAAATTCCTTCTGCGATCTTGGTACTACAGCACCGACCTCGTGTCATCATCGAAGGCGGACTCATATGTTTTGTCAATTTGTAATGGATTGCGGCATATGATATACTAATTCCGTCCCTTCCTGTTCGCCCGTGGTGCGAGGCCTCTCTGAACTCTGTTTTGCAACACATCTGCCCGTTTCCGAACTCAACGCGCAGTTCACTTGGTGACTTTGAGTACACAGGCAGCCCATCTTTCCACTGCACGACCGAAAGATGCACCGACTTAAATCTCGCTCCTGCGCTGTCATGGAAAAACGAAGCTTAACGATACAAAATTATTTCTCGATGACGAATACATCCGTTTTTCTTTCTTGTGTTGTACCATTCCCTAATCCACGAGGAACGTAATTCATTATCTTTTCAACATCTCCCTTAAAACTGTGTGCATACAGGAGACGCCGTACAATCACACTGTCTACGTCTTGGTAACACTGCACTTAGTAACCTTGGTTTCTCAACGGTTTCAGTAAACGTTGAGTAGTTCTGCACATCCTTGCAAAGGAGCCGGACTTGAAGGTATCGAAATCCGATCCAAATAACAACGAACCTATTCCTGAAAGGGGATGCTTTTGCTTATACCTCTACTGCTTCCGCAAATCCGCTTACCATTACTCGCCTCTTGTTGCCGAACCATCACTTTCTACTGGCCCATATTCCTCAGCCGAATGTTCCTTTACTTTTAGGCAACCATCTCTGCTACTAATCTGCAGCAGTGTACTGGACATTTAGATAGCGTCCGCATAGTCAGAATGACATGTTCACTTGTGTGCAGACCTTCTAGCTCTCAGGGATCGAACTTACGAAAGGCAATCAAGTCAATCATGTGCCAGCTAATGTTGTCACAGACTTCAGGAATTGATACTTACGTTTTGTATTTCGATATGTTCCCCTACTACTATGCCTTTATCCCAGCATTTCATTAAAATGCTTCAGCATAGAAAAATTTATCAGTACCTTTGAACCAGTTTATGACAGACTGCTTCAACTCACCCTTACTTGGGGAATTTTGACTTCCGACGAGTTCTTTTAGGGGTCCAAACAGTTTGAATATCGCTTAGTGGTAAGTCTGAGCGAGAAAATATGCTTGGAAATACTGGATTTCCGTGCCACAAGCGTAAATCAACTCACCTGTGTCAATTAAAGGCGGAAAACTCCATGTCTCATCTACTTTTGGGAACAGCAAGTAACTTCAACTCACTATTTTTACTATTCTTAGCGAAACATTAGGCGCATTTGCGACTCCATGACAAGTTTTGCGGTGACTGTCAACGATAGACTGGATGTTCTACGCACTGCAATTTCCCAACACGTGCAACTGTCGACTGAGACCACCCATCTCCACCGGGATCGTCGTTGACAGACATATGACGGTTTTTGAAGCACTTGAACCATTCAAATCACTTACTGCGACTATCTTCTCACCATAATGTGATCGAAGTGTCCTGTGAATTTCAGCTGATTTTATGCCCTCCAATATAGATGTCATCACAACACGTCGTCCCATGTGCAATCTTGCCTCCTTGTTCATCATCGCGAGTAACCCTACATTAAACGATACACGAGAGTAGTGGCTCCTTGCAGTAACAAAGCACAGTTGTCAGTTCCCACTGCATGCATTATTTCCACATCGGAATGTGAAAAGTAGCAGGTCTCGGATTAACTTGAACGACCTATGTTGGAAACAGATTTGTTCACTGAGGTTTGAGAGACACCTGTCATTATGGCGCACAAAAGGATACGTGAAATCTCATAACCACACCTAACTAGGGTAAACTATCTACGCTACTTCCCATAGGCTTAACATCCTTATCAATACCAGCGCCGATAGATGTTGGCGACTTGAGCTAAATTGCTCCCTCCGATCCATGGTACTCTTTGCCTGTATGGAACTAATTTATTTTATGGACAATACACGCGTTCAACACCTCTATTTCCGCCACTTTTTCCGCATTCTTGCTCAGTTGGTTCTTAGACTTCTTTGTTAAGCAAAGCATCGACTGTGCTCTAGTAGTTGCTTCCAGTCGTTGATGCGACTAACATGCGCCAAAAATCTGTGATTTATGCCTATCATGTGACATAGTCGGTTATTATCCCGAATGTAAAACTGTTAATGCACCATGCTATATTTTTGTCTGCCTCCTCGTACACAAGTGTCATCTCGATACTTTTCAGACATATTCTCTCCTATCGGCCGCTGATAAGTGTTGTCTATCGAAGATCTCTGACAATCTGGACTGCGATACCGTGTGATCCTCAGTCAATAAAACTGTTCTGGAATCTTGTGCTGAAGGACATCTATTTTTCTACTGCGCTACAACAAAAACATGCTTCTGTGAAACCTTCCTTTCGACACAATGACTATAAACTGTGCTTCCCTAGTTGACCACTTTCTTTAGGCTGTAAGGAAGAAAAAAACATTTGCGTTAGTTTGTTACCACTCGTTGGGTTTGTACAGATCACTTACCATTCCACCACTGATGTCTGTATCCGTTGATATGCTGGAACAAGATAAACCCAATTTTAATGTTTCATTCGCATTTTTCTTGCGAGATGCACAGTATGGTCACATGGAACTAATTCAGTGATACATTTTCCTCATCTGGGTTCACAGCAACATGTATAGTGAAAACTTTCGTACAGTTTTTATTTGGGCTACTAGTGAGAGTCTTCTGAACAGCACCCCATTCTTGCTTACCTATATTGAGCGGCTTTGCTACCTGTGACCCGATCTGTATTCCTCATCGCAAGATCAGCACGTCACTATAAACGGTTGCTTGATTCACACGTCTAATTTGTTCCGTTATCTATGGTGCTCGAATCACCTGCTAGATTACTGCACATGCCACATGATTTCATATCCGTCACTTGCAGAGAGGACAAGATATCGATTTACCGTAAAGGGCTCGACACAGCATCGCATAGATGGTAGCAGTGTACTGTGGAGGCATCTTTTTATTTTTGACTACTGTTGTCTGGAAAGTATCACTCGGATCTGGTAGGAAAACCTAGTGGGTATTGTCAAGTTTCGCTGTTTTACTATTGACCGTAAATATCACGATACGACGCTGTTTATACTTAATCCACCCTGGGCTAGAGATTTACATTTTCTGCGCCGTTGTCCGCTCCAGCACTGACTGACCGCGTCGAACGCGCTTGAGTTTGTGAAGAACCGAAGCCCTGGGCAGTAGAAAGCAGTTTGATTAGGAGGCTGCTTATTGAGACCCACTGTATCTACGAATACGCAATAAGAGAGGGACGCGCTGATTTGCTTATTCGACTGCACTCATCGCGATCCCCTTGACTTGGCAGTGACCTTCTTCGTGTTTGTATCCTGTGACGTGCGCGACGTGATGATATTCACTTACCATACGATCCACAATCGGACTGCTTTCGCCCGACTTCCCTGCTGATCTCCGCATACTACTCACCACTAGCGGATTATACAACAGTAGTGTATGGGAGACTGCGTCGTGTTTGTCCACACGGCGCTTTGAGATCGGTCCTATCGGTGGTTATATTGCTCTTGGCCGTCCTAACCATCGTTTATTAGCCCTCCTCCGTTGGTTTGTTTTTTCTTAGATTTCTTCGTTGTCCCACTGCCATTATTTCGTTTTTAGCCACTGATCCATGGTAACTTGATCTGACGCTCCCCAATGTTCGAATCAGGGTTCATTATTTAAATAAACACTTTTTATCTACCCATTGCTTAGCGCCGTGGAAGGAATCACCTGGTATGGCACCAGGCCGTCTACCGTGCCTGTTTATTGACAGCTTTTATCCAGCGTGTTGTCAGATCACATTTAGAGGTAGTTGACACATCGTCATCCTTGCCGTTATCTAATTCAGTTACACGGTTTCCAATTTGTATTGTTGCTACTTTGTCTACTATCCTCTCTCCATGATCGGAACTTTCAGTTGTTTCCAAGCGTTAGATAATCGGTCACATGTTGGTGTCCTACACTTGTTTTAAACGGAACCGCGCCGGAGTTCAGTGCCCTTGGATCAGTCAAACGGAACACCTGCTGCTTCGAAGCCAGTTGCTGCGTAATAGTTTATCCGTCTGGGTCATTGGTAGAGCAACTTCAAGTCGTTCACCTCTCTGCACACTAGTCGGCATACTAGTCGTATGTTTACGAAGATGTGCCTTCTAGGTCGGATTCCTCAATCGACCCGGTAGTACCGCGTGTTCCAGTCAGTCATGATCGTTTTCTTTGTTATCGGACACCGTTCCCCATAACAGAGCAGTGTCTCTACCTACCGACTTTACTCGGTATTTACACATGCTTCTTTCCGCTCCTCTTTAGGTTATCTTCCACTGTCGCCATAATTTGTACGCTCTCATTCATTTACGAGAATTCAGCTTATACCGGATCTTTTGCTGAATATAATGATCTTAGGTGGCAGTTGTTTTGTATCACTTTTTCCTTTCATAACCGCACTCACTTTCTGTATTTTATCTTTAACTTTCACCTTGGTAATGGATGTTATTAGGTTGCCTTTTTAACATGTCATTGAACTTACCTCGCTGCTGAATAGTCTTGTTGATGCATTCAACCAGATCCATTCGAGCCAAGTGTGCAGCGATGGAGATGTCCTGTTTGTGAAACCCCTTCTGAGCTAGCATAGCATATCGGCAATGGGCCTCCCGATGCATTCGATACAATGGTTCCGGTGATCTGTACGGGGCCTTGGTTGCACCCACCATTCGCCATTGCGTTATGGGCACCAAAGAGGGTCTTGGTTGACTGCGGCTGCAAATGGAATGAATTTGAAGGCTGCCATTGTATACCTCCCTAGTTGTAAATTGTTAGTTACCGTGAATTCCCATTTACCTCTACCCACACCTGATTATTATGTGTTATTACGATTTACTGACTTGCTAGCTACTTGTATCCGTGAATACTCTGCTCCCAACAGCAATGACACCTAACCGTTGCCAAGTGTGCTTCAATAGTCTATTCATTTACCTGGAAGTAGACACAGATGGGGATATATGGTGTGGAAAACTGGGGTGCTTGCATTCACTCTATCCGGGTCAAATCGCGTGCTTTGCAATTTGCACGCTAGTAGAGGAACACTGTAGTAGCAAACGTGGTGGTCTGTTTGCTCTCCTTCCCATAGGCTGTTGGACGCTGCTACTTTCCTCTGCCACATGGTTTTTCTGCGGCGTTCTACAAGACTGAAACCTAAGGCTACACTGTGTCGTATAGTTCCAGTGGATATTTTTCGTGAGAACGCGCATCCGAATTACCTTTAGCAACTTATGTCCTCATCTATATGTTCTCTGCACGTTCGTCAGTTTGGTTGACTATGTACGACAACAGCGGGAAGAGGTGCTACGTTTAATTTCCATCTGAATTTAAGCACAACGAGCTGGATGATTGAATACCGCATGTTTCCTTTCTCATCCATATAATCTCACTGGATAAATGATTGCACATTCTAGCTTTGCTGGTCGCTCCGACTACAACTATGTACGGTTAACCTGCTTATGGGACGTGTTCAATTTTATAACCATGAGACTTAATGGTTAAATATCTATAAACACCGGTACATTCGGCGAATTGTGAAAATAGAGACACCTACCGTCTTCTCACTGTATTGTGCATCAGACTATTATGCCAGGGTATCCAAGTGATGCCACCCAAGTTCTCCTCAGTTCACTCTGCTATCTATATCGCATGTTTATAAGACTAGGTTAGAAAACGTTCAAATAAGACATCTCTCAGGAGGTGTGTACAATTGTGGGGGTCATCAGCTCAAAATGATTCGTCACCACTGTCTTACTTTTCTCTGTCTCCCGTTCTTTATCGCTCACCGCTTCCTCGGGTCAGTCAACACAGTGCCACATTTGGTTTCTTCACCTATGCTAAACAAGGAACTGGTTTGTCTTTCAAACCTTAGACGACATTCCACTTTTGGTCCTTCAGTACCCGCAATACGTGTCGCTTCAGTTAACGCGCCACACTGGATCTTAGCATTGACGTGTTATGTCTATAAAACACAGGCGCACGTTAGTATTGTCGTAACGTATTTTTGGCTATCTACTCCGGACCCTAACTACTATGGTCAGTTTGTTCTCATCCCCGGCAATGCATACTCGAATGTTCAGGGAACTCACTATGTTATCCCAAACAGAAGCGCCGAAGGTATGCTCAGCGAACAGTCACATGTGTGTGATTCGATTTTGGGTCTGCACCAGACTTTGCTTCACTATACACCCCCACTAATTGCATCTCAAAGGCTGTCAACAACAGCTACCGTCATTGGCTGTCATGTGCTATTCAACTTGTGATTGTAGTAAGGGGATCACTTATCCGGACCGGGATAACACCCCCTGGGTGCCTGTCGATCCGCACTTACTGGGCTGATAATGGCAATCTGCTTTTTCAACGGTATGTCGACTGCAGTCCTTATGCCGTTAGCACCACAGCTTCTCAGGACAAACTCGTCATTGCACTTGACAACAGACTGTCCTGGACTAAGATTGGCAATATATTCATGACCTACTGCTGAGGCACCCACATATACTTTGGCCAGACCTCAGTGTGCATTCAGTTGGTTGTCATTCTCGACCCCAGCAATGGATACAACTTGGCCCAGTGATCAAAGCGTCAGCGGTTAACCACTAGCCCCCCGAGTTCCACTCCAACTCAGGCTATCTCCATCTGACGAGTCCAAAAGAGGTCGAAACCGGTCATGGGGTGTCAGTATTGAGAGGAGCAGCACCGAAACACCTCCAACCTGGCCATTTCTCACGTCAACTCAGCTCAGGAAACATCCTTCTTAATGCAAATCGGAAAATCAGCTGTCGTAGGCGACCCAATGGATAAGTCAAATATTGGGTACGACCATCTGCCATATGAAGAAGGAATTGAGCCCTTTTTGTCTACCTAACTTGTGCCGTTCCAATCACAAATCTGCTACTGTCGCTTTGATCGTTTGGACTGAAGCGCAGGACATGTTCCCACCAACTAGTCGTTTTCAGTGCCAGCAGCATTCGATGATGTCATCTGATTAGAGGTCTCACGAGTGTTGCTCAAAATCATGTACAAATGTTTATGAGTTTCGGAAGACTAACATCACTAGGACTACCACACTACAGCTGCATTGTATCCAAAGCAGGGGACTAGAAAGGTAGCTGATGGAAAAACCGTAAGGGAAGATCCACTGGCTTGTGCACTAAGCAGTACAATTTGAAGGGCAATTTAGTCGACTTGCTTTATCGTAATCAGACCCAATCTTAACGTTATCCAATGGTTTGCTTGCCTCAACGAACCATTGAACTTTGCTGGGCGATTTTGTGCGTATACCTTCGAAGTCCCTCGTACCAGATAGGGCAATGGTTGGAGGCCAAACAGTTTCAGTCTTCCCGGCCTCCAGATTGGGGGGATGAAATCAGTGGGGCTCCTTATTCCTTAAATCAGGTCCCCCAGATCCAACACCTTTCTGTCAAGTTTTCAAACCAAATGTTATGGATGAGAGCCCTTTTCCTGTCTCGGCTTGGAAAACGTAACAGAATCCTGTTCGCGTAATAAAATGAAACCTCCGAACGATATTTTTGCTGTTTGGACCGTCACCAAAGAGAATCAACGCCACCCTGTCTACTGCATCGTGCGGGGTGGATATGAGTAGAGTTGCTATTTCTCAGACTTATCTGTCTCCTTATTCCCTCTGCTCTTTTGCATCCTCGGTTTCGTCGAAATCGGGGCTGTATTGACCCTAGAGTCAGTCACTGAAGTATCCCGATGTATATTGACGACCTGTCCTAACCGCTTGCCTCGACATCAGACGTGCGTTCTCTTTGGTGGACCGATGTGCCCTATTGGATCATCTCATTAAAAATGTTGTGCACGAGAGATGTGTGAATAATATATGAGCGGTATACATGCGCACTTTTGGGCAGAGTGAGGGCTTACGGCAAACTGTCGCCGTATCTCAATATCTTCAGCGTTGTGACGCAGGAATACCTGACGTCACGTATATTCAACTTTACTGTCGATTAACTGCGTTTACGATACTTGACTTAGGTGCGAATTTGTTTCTAGGCGATCCATCTTTTCGATCTGAAGTGCACCGGCTCTAACCTGTAACAATTGTCAAACCTGCCAGGCAGTGCTAAACAGATCAGCACTGGTTGCAAACTCTTTCTGGTTACACATGCACAATCTTTCCCTCCGAATTAACATGAACCAATCTCTGTGGTGGGGATCAGGTAGTAGTCGTTTGGAAAATCACTGGACATCTATGCTAGCACATGTCTAGCAAAATCTCACGACGTCTTTACTAATCATTGTCAGTCATCATGGCACAAACTTGCGGTATTCCTGAAAGGTTGTATTCACAGTGCTACCATCATGACTGAGTGCACCTCACAGAAACGTACTTTAAAATCTTAACGTTACTAGTCGCGAAAGCTTCAGAATCAAAAACTTCGATCTTCCCCCTCAAACCAAAATCATTTTTGACAATCTCAACAAAGTTCCACCTGCTGACAGTGCGTAGCAGCTTCATCAACACATCTTCTGGGACAGCACGTGTTGCAACAGGTGACTAGTAAACAAGACTTAGGTATCATCGTTCAAGGAACTCTTGGCAATTCACTCCAATGTTCGAAAGCAACGTATGTGGCGAAATGGAACTTGAGGCTTTTGAGGCGATCTCTCTGCTCATTTCAGCGACGGCTAGTGCCACTGTTTATTAACACATAACTTCGTCCCTACATTTACTATGCGGTTCAGCCCTGGCGCCCATGGTTAAAAGGAGGCATTCGTCTCTTGGAGCTGCCCCAAAGATGTGCTACCAAGGCAACACGGCCTATCCGGTCTCAGTTACCGACTGCGCCTTCGTTTACTCGGTATGTTATCCTCAGCATACCGACGACTTCGCGGAGATATCATCCTCACATACTGAATACTAAATGAAAGCGAGCATCCATGTACATCACTGCTAACAGTAGCCCCTTACAAACAAAGTCGAGACCATCACCTGAAATTAGTAACCCAACACTCCCGTTTGGATTGCAGAAGTATTTTTACTTTCTTAGCATCTAGAATGCACTACCGACACATGTGGTTAACGCACTAGACATCGCGGCATTCGAGAGACTTCTAGACTCGCATCTTAGTGCTAAACGATACACAACAGTGTGATAAAGTGCGATGCCTTTACTACTGATGAGTCACGTCCCACATTGGAACATTTTTAATTTTAATTTTCTTGTGTATTTCCCATCTTGTGGGTCTTGTAAATTTATACATTTTATCCCATCATGCACTATTGAACCTCTATGACCTTGAGGGCTCGGACCTGACGCATTCATAAAAACCATCTAAGCTTGGAAAATTGGATCTCCTACGTAGCTCAACGCATCTGCTGTGTGTACTTGGTTCATGATGACAAGTTGACACACCAACAGAAGCTCGCGAAACGAATCTGTTCTAGCTACAAGTTTCTTCACGGACGCCTCAATAGAATAGGTTTGGTGCAACGTGTAATCCCACCACTCACTACGGTTGGTAACAATGCGCATGCAGCGAGAAACGGCTGACGGCCCTAGTACTCATTTGCTTTTTAATGGGTATAAAGCTCAAACGATATTCCTGTTACTATCATTCCACCATCGGGTTCAATCTGCTTCACATTCATTGCAAATACGGTGCAGAAAATGCTTCTATCCTTATGCACATACAGCTCTGGAGCGGATATCATTCACCCGAAAGTACCGCAACTAGCAGCCACGCACTTAGCC